AATAGTGTTGCTCTGCATCATATTTGCACAACTAACAGCTCAAACTTTTTTCTTTTGTTGGCAAAACTGTTTAATGGCACGACTAGAAAAACAGCATTTAATCATTCAAAGGGCTGCCTGTTTGGGTAGAAATGATTTATGTCGACAGCTTTTGATGGCAATGATTTGACCCGAGCTCCAGGAGTGGATCTATCATGGAAATATTCTCATCAGGGAGCGGCGTAGGCAGCGTGGTATTAGTATCCTGAAATAATATATGCACACAGATGTACAGCCCTGCATCAATGTACATGCTTAGCAGCCAATTTTCTATTCATTTAAATTGCACAAGATTGCAATAATGTCACATGTGGCATGTGTGAGACTGATTTACTTATTCACCACCGTCCTCCCAGTCCCCTCCTCTCCTTCTGTCCTTCATTCCCTGACTTTTCTTTTTTTTTTTTTAAGCCTCTCTGTATCCTTCACTACAGATGCAAACGTGATGTGATTAAGTTTGGGTTGCCATGGGTGCCATCTCTCCTACATGTTTAATACATCTGAGCTGTTTTTATACAAGTGTATTTTCAGTGCCAGTGATTGATTGTTTTCCACACCAACCTAAATGACCAGGGATATTGTACGGTATCTGAATATGTTGTTTGAGCATTTCTATGCAAACCTGCATTTTCGATTGCATGCATAATTCTGCGTCTCTCATTGATCGAAAGAAAGCTGTTTGTGAGCAACTTTTTCCTTTTTTGCATGCTTGCGGTCTATATTTTGCGTACGTGCGCATGTTTTTTTGTTTTAGCTTCTAGTTGGTGTGTTTCAGCTCCATTAAATGCGTGTGTACAGTGTACAGGAGTGTGTGTGTGTGTGTGCCTGTTTGACAGAGAATGAGTGTGTGTGGTTGAAGGAGTGCTTGTTGAAGCATGGTTGTCTCATTGAAAAATGTATTCTGAATCCCAGACATGTGGAGGAGTAAATATTTGTCATCTGGGGACAAACATACATCAGTCAGCCATGCTCCAGATTATATATGATGGTGGAAGGAGCTTTTTTTTTCTTACTCATCCCATTTCTGCTTCGTTCCCTGTGTTGGATCACTTCCAACCTTTATGTTGTCAGAGACTTATTGACAGAATTTCAAACTATACATGAGCAATGCTCCTGTGCCTAGAACCACAGTGTACATACATTATATTTAAAGTGATTACCAAATGAAGATACTCAGTGGCATAAAAGAAGAATTCAGAACGCTGCTTAAGCAAATGCAAGTACTCTAAAGAAAAACATCAACCAACAAAGTGATTGTGACATATTTGGTCTTGGCTTTGTTGTTAATGGCAGCTAAACATGAAATGGTTTAATATTCTGGATAGTAATTTTAATTGAATTAATTTCAGAGGACATTGTAAGGCGCTGATGGTGTCATAAAACACTTGTTATAGCTGCTGTTCATCACTGTGATGTAAATTATGCCCAGTGATTGCTCAATGATGCTTTCCTTTGGGGACATGACGTTGTAAAAAGAAAAAAAAAAAATTGTAATTGGCTCCAAAGGGCACACGATGTGTTGGTGCCATGAGGGAGGAACACAAAAGAGGGTTATTTTCTCTCCAGCTATGGCTTTTCTCCCTGCTGACATCCTCATACTGCGGTGCATTCAGCAATTCTGTTCCCCAAGTAGATAATAAGGAGTGAAATTAAAAAATAAATGCTTATTTTACAATGGTGATAACACGAGTCGACAGTACGTAGCACAGTGACACGAGAAGAGGACAAGTGGGGATGAGGAACTTCCTTTCAAAATAAGACTTGAAATTTGTGTGTATACAGAAAAGATATACAGTAAGTGACATTAAAGTAAAAATCATTATGAAATATTGAAGATGAATGGTAACAAAAAACGTTTACAAAGCTGCAACATTCGTGAAAATCTAATCCTGCATGCTCTCTAAAATGCATTGGTACGTGCGTATATAGTTACAGCAGTTACAGGAATCTAACTTTTTCTGATTTATTTTTAAATATATACTTCTGAGAGTTTCTGACAAAGATGCTTCATTTCCTCCTCTTGTGGACTTGCTTGGTCCCTGACATGGGAGTTGATGTGGTCAGCTGGGCAGATGAGACATAGGGACAGAGAATATGCCCTGGACATCATGGCTCAGCACACTGACACCTGGTGCACCCTTGTGGTGTTTGTGCATGTGTGTGTGATTCTGTGTGTGTG